CACCGCCCGCTGATAAAATATTTGTAAACGATTTACCAAGAATTGAATCTGGTAATTTAGATGAAAGAAGAGATGGAAGAAGAGGAGGAGAAGAACCTTCAACTTATTCCTCTCCTCGATTACAAGCTCCACCTGCTTATACTCCAACTGCACCTCCCGGATATTCAATGAATGGAACTTATTTTTTATGCTATGATGGAAGTTATTCATATAATCCAAATTCTCCAATAAATTTAGAAATATGGAATAATCATAATAATATTATTATTGATGATGACAATAATAATAATTATAATCATAATAATGATAATGACGATTATGATGATAATAATAATAATGATAATGGTGACGATAATAATGACGATAACGATAATAATAATAATAATAATAATGATTCAACTCGAACATCAACTACTGCAATAACAGAAATTACAGGAACGATGGAAGAAGAAACACAACCACTTCAATCTTCTACAATTTCAATAAATAATAATAATAATAATGATTATAACGAAATACCATTTAGACGGGAACATCAACGAAATCATTCTTCAATAATATAGAAATGAATTAATAATATTTTTCTTTCTTTGTTCGACCACAATTATTATAATTGTTATTATTTCATCTTTTTATAATATATATAATAGATATGTCTCTATATTATATATTTATATTATTTATTTATTTTTGATAATGAAGATGCAATTTATTATACTTTATTATACTTTATTATACTTTATTATACTTTATTACACTTTATTACACTTATTATTTTGTGAATTCATTCATACAGTATTTCCTTTTTTTTTAAAAAAAAGTCTCTTTTTGTTATGTTGATCATCACGTCGATCATCACGTCAACTCATGCTCATCACGATACCATTCTTTTATCATCACACTCTTTTATTCATATAATAACAAATATATATATATATATATTCTCCACCCAGCAAAAGAATTTTTCAAGAAAAAAATAATTTTAATTAAAAAGAACTGCTGGAAATATTTTTGGAAATATAACAATTTACCGACAAATCGATGAAAAATTATCAACGATGATAAATTAATTGCAAGTAAAAAATTATTGAGTGGCGTACAACATCAAAGAAAAGAAACTCTAAAATTTTTAAGAATTGGAAAGAAAAAATTGGCAGAGATTTATATATGATTTACATTTATAAATATATTTATATTTATCTATATTTTTCTGCTACTTTATTCGCACAAATAATTAAGTAATAATAATAAGTAATAATAAATTAGTGTGTGTCGTCAAAAAAGAATCCACGAAAAAAATTTATTCTCTTTTTTATGACGCCCTTTTTTTGCATCTTCGACTTTATCAAAAAACAGAAAATTTAAAAAAAAATTTTCGCAAAAATTTTTGTAGATATTATAAGTTTTTTTGGGGGGGGGGGTATAAACAACAATGGTGATAATTCCTATATTATACTTTTCTATTATTTAATTTCCTTTTCTTCGACGTACTTTCTTTCTTTCAATTCAATTCAATCCTTTTTGAGATCTTTGTATATAGATTTACAACACAAAAAAAAAAATAATATATAATGATATTTGTGTGCATCATTTTATTTTTATATTTTCTTCTTTTATTATATTGTAGAAACATTATTAAAAAATCTAAAATTTTTCATTGTCGATCTGTTTTTTATAACAATATCGTAAAGTTTTAAATTTTTTTTTTATATATGTATAATAATGACCGATAACCAACTAACTAAAATAATTGAACAATAATAATTATATCTATTTTTCAAAAAAAATAAATTGTAATAATAAAAGGTTACATATAATTTTCTTTTTGTTCATTGTTGAACATCACAGATCATCACACATAATTCCTAAACTAAATCGAGTTACGAATTATAATTTTAATTCTAATTTTAGTATAAGAATAATTCACGATAACATTGTTTGTCTTACAAATTATATTATTCTAATTTCTATTTTCAATTTTTGTACAACATTTATTATTTATTTATTTATATGCATAAAACTGTTAATGTTAATAAATTAATAAATTGTTTAATTATTAAAGTTAATAAAATTAAAAAATTATTATAATGATTATTATTAATTTTTTTCAATAATTTCCACATTTTCAAATTTCTTGTTTCCACTTTGAATTTTATATCCATTAATCCAATCTTTAACTAAGATTTCATTTTTACCTTCCATTTTTACACTTTTACATTCAATCAATTCAATTTCTAATAATTCCTCATTAATATTAAGAATATCCTTATTACCCTTAAGAAAATTAATTTTAATGCCACTACCACTACCACCACCACCACCACCACTATTGCTAAACTTATCACTTGTATTTTTATTATTGATCTTATTAATATCTCTA